AATACTTTATTTGGTGTCCCTGTGTCCCACCCACCCAAGTTGCTTTTCCCACTCTGTGCTTGGTTTGTTGAAATCCAGCAGCTTGCTTCATCACTGTGATTCTGTAATTCAAGCAATCTCATTTTAAGCAGGTCTTTCAGCCCTGCCTTCAGTTTTGTGGATGCCTTTTCACTAGCACTATCCATCTTTCTCACTGTGAAGGGGTTTTGGTGAAAAATCTTACAGTGTTAGAAGCCATCACTGATCATTGCTGGCATTGGTTGTGTCTGGCTCTTCAGTTTTATCTAATGAAGTTTTTGTCTCTGCTTACAGGCCAAGGAGTGTGGTCAGATGCAGAACAAGTGGCTCATGATAAACATTCAAAATGTGCAAGATTTTGCCTGTCAGTGTCTCAACCGTGATGTTTGGAGCAATGAGGCTGTGAAGAACATAATCCGGGAGCATTTCATTTTTTGGCAGGTGAGAAGTTTAATGGGGCTGTGCAGGTAACTTGGTGTCCTGGTAGATGGGAGTAGTGAAAAGAACAGATGACTTCGAATAAAATGGCACTGTTGCGGTTCTCTTGGTGAACTTGTAGAAAAGATGCAGTACTTCATGGAAGTGTAGCTCATGGATGTAGATTTAGTTGATGGGTACATGTTTGAGTGCATAAACTGCTTTCCACTTGTGCATTCAAGATGTTACTGCTTAGCTTCTAATATATATGAAGTGTTAGAGGTGTATTTTCAGCCTGTCAGTTACTAAGAACTGAATGTACCATTTGTAGCACGTATTGTAAAAGGAAAAGCTTTGTCTATTGTCAAGGTACAGTTTGTTCATGTTCCCTCTCCACCCAGTAATTTGCTTACAATGTGGTATTTTGTAGGTATACCATGACAGTGAGGAAGGACAGAGGTATATACAGTTTTATAAATTAGCAGACTTCCCTTATGTTTCCATCCTGGATCCCAGGACAGGTAAGATAAGTGATAGTTGGTTACCTGCACTGTGTGTATTCAGTGAAGAATCTCAGTTACATTGCTTTGCTCTCTGAGAGACCTCGTTGTTCCTGAAGGAGTATGTTTTGGAGGAACTGAGGGAAGAAAACTCCCAAGAATTGCTGAAATTTTGTGTATTTGCTTATTGCACCTGGTATAACTTACCGGGTACTTTGCTTAGCAAGTGAAAATAGTACCACCTGGTGGTAAAACTTAGAAATGAATTTTTTTTAGTGTTCTTTTAAAAGCTACTTGTGCAATGAATTAACTACAATATTTGTAAATATTACATGAATCTGCTTCCAGCTCCTTGCACAATAGCTTTGTGACTCTCAGCAGTGACTTATTAAATTGTATCTTAATTTTCCCAATGCAGTTTTGGTTTTGGTTTGTTGTTTGGCTTGATTTTGGTTTTTTACCTGAACAATCAAACTTCTACCTACCCCTCCAGCTCTTTCAAAATTGTTACTTTTATTTTGTATCCCAACACCCTGTCTTCTTTCATCATCATATAGTGCAGCAATATTAATGGTCTGGTCTCCTGCTTCTCAGGGCTGAGGTAATACTGCCTGTAATCAAAGCTGAGATTTCTTGCTATTTGACTTAATCCACCCAAAGCCACTTACTTTTTTTTTTTTTTTAATTTTGATACTGAAGTTAGCATATTATTCTCAGGTGTTTACATACAGAAGCAAATGAGGTTTTCCAAGGTATAGAATCAAAGCAGGCAAGAACATAGAAATGTTTCTTCATAAACATAATGGTTTGGCTTTGTTTTTTGTTTTTTGTTTTTTTTTTTTTTTCATTTTGAAACCTAATTCACAATTCTGTGCACACATTCCCATAGATAAAAAGAGAAGAACAGAAATAAACAGGGTCTGTACTTATGTCTGTCTGTGATTGAAACCTTTTCAGGGGAGCAAAGAGAGGAAGCTTCATAATATAAGGTGTTAGCCTGTAGGATCTTGCAGTTCCACAAGTACAGACCCTTGCAGAATGCACACACAGCAGTGAATTGGTGTGTTTCACCTCTGAGCTGCAATCTTTTGCTGAAATTCCATTTAATGACACCTTTTGTTCCCTAGGTCAGAAACTAGTGGAGTGGCACCAGCTAGATGTGACTTCTTTCTTGGACCAAGTGACTGGGTTTCTGAGTGAGCACGGGCAGCTGGATGGCCATTCTACCAGCCCTCCTGAAAAATGTTCTCGTTCAGTAAGTATAAGACCCCCTAGTAAGACTGGAGAAACCTGAAAGAACATGCTAGCATGTCTTACCCAGTTGTACTGATGTCCAGTTCAGTAGTATAAACAGACTTAATGAGTTAGTGCAAGAGCATGCAAAGATCTGGAGCACCAGGGAATGCCTTCTCCCATGACACCTATTTTTGTTGTGCAGTTGTGCTTTCGGCATTTGTTTTGGATTTAACAGTCACAGAATTGTGCATGTGTGGAAGGAAAATATATTAACTCCATATGAGACTCCAAGAAGTCATTAAGTCATCATAGCATGACTAGCTTTCCATGCTGCTTGTTCCTGGCAGTAGCTTCTCTTTGGAAGAGTGATACTCTCTTGATTTTCAGTATGTATTTAAACACAATTTTTATATATTTGTGTTATGTCTGCATTCAACAGGAGAGTCTCATTGATGCCAGTGAGGACAGCCAGTTGGAAGCTGCTATCAGAGCCTCGTTACAGGAGACACATTTTGATTCCTCACAGGCCAAGCAGGAGAGTCGGTCAGATGAGGAGTCAGAGTCAGAGCTTTTCTCTGGAAGTGAGGAGTTTATTTCGGTTTGTGGATCTGAGGAGGAGGAAGAATCAGAGAATCCTGCCAAGTTGAGGAAGTCTCCTCACAAGGACTTGGGGTATAAAAAAGAGGAGAGCAGAAGGCCTCAGCCTGAACCCCCTGCAAGGACTGAGCCTGGGACAACATCAAATCACAGAGTACTGCCCTGCATTGACGCAGGGATACAGGAGGAGTCAACTGACAAGCCTGAAAGTATGTTCCAGGGCCTAGATGTAAATGGTAAGTTGCCATGTTGTGTTTTTTGTTAGTTTTGGGTGGGGTTTTTTTTTTTGTGACTTGTGTTTTGTTTATGCTTGGCTTTCCCCTTCCCT